CATTCCAACATTTTTCAAAATATCTTCTTTTGTGTTCAACGAGAAAAAGAAAAAAAACTCATAAAGCTTTACTGAGAAAATGTTGAGTAAATCCAATTTTTGGGGTGAACTATCCCTTTACACAAGAAAAACTCAAATCTAAAACAATCAGTGTCTGCTTTCTCACCTGTTTTGTCTTGTCTGCGCTTGGGTCTGGACGGCCAAATACAGTCAGCGATCAAAACCAGCATCTAAAGAAGATTTGGTTACACTTTACTTGAAGTGCGTTCATAAGACTGTCTTAAAACCTTTATAACCATGACATAACAGAAATGTGAATGAGATTGTATGCATGCTTGTGACAGCCATTATTAGGTGTCATTTTCACAGTTATGACATTTTAAAAGCAAGGATGACATTATTTGTAATGACAACTTGAGATAAATATAGTGTTTGTCTTCATCATGACAACATGACATTACCAAGATAACAAAACCCGTCATAAATCTGTCATAAACATGATTGTCATAAGGAATTATAATTGTGTCATACATATTTTTATGATCATGTTTTCAGTGGAACAAACTGAATTTGTCAATAAAAAGTCCAACACAGGCTCATTGCGGATACATACCCCTGTCTACAATTTTGAAGAGAGTGAATTATGTAGCCAGAGGTACGTATGGCTGCATTGGTCAGCCAATCATTGCATTGCTGATCATGATTTTGAGGATTGATAGATCAGTCCTTCACAACACACGCAGCGATCTCAGATCAGTTCATCCAGACATTTTAATTTGATTCGCGAGCTTGTTTGAAGAACCAAATTAGCCAGAGATCAGTTATCAAGATTAAAAGATCCAGGATCTGTCAAATCATCTTAGATCATTTAAGCGAGGTACGAAGAACGGACCCCATGGCTCATTCTGATTACTTACCCCTATATACATTTCTGGAGATCATGAAATACGTCCCAGTAGGGTTTTTTTTTTTTTTTTTTTTTTTTGCTGTTTTTGATTTCACAAAGCGACCTAAGGCTGCTGTGCATGCTTTTTGAGCTCTCAAATTTCTCTTGTGAGTGCCATTCGCGCCTGCTGTTTTCTCGTGCATCCACCAGAGGCCGCTGTCAACTAACTAACTGACTGACTGACTGACCAATCAACTGACCCACCCTCTAGGATTGGGCGATGTCCAATGTCAAACATTGTGATGGACAATGGCATCGTCATCATATGACAAGTAGCTGGGGGTGGGGGGTGGGGGTGATTGGGGGTTTGATAGAGTGCGCGCAACGTGTCTGAAGAGTGAGGAGGAATCCAGGGGTGAGAAGGATGCACAGCTTATTTGAGGACTGGGAAAGCGACACGCGATTTCCGGGGGATTATCACTCGTTTGCGGGCATTATGAGTCCTGCAAATTCATGAGACTCCCGGAATTTCCGGGAGACTTGGTATGTCTGAATATAACACTTGACAACTATAGTGAGACGTGATCCAGCGGTACATCCTTTTTTAAACTGTTTGACGTGCACTGCTCTATAGAGCTTAGAGGAGCACATGGCACTGTGTGGCTGTGTGTGTGTGTGGCTCTGTCTGTTTGTGTGTGTGTGTGTGGTCACGTGATGTGCATTTTCAGGGCTGTTCATAAATGCTAGGCAAAACACGGTGTGGATGTGGATCATTTTCGTTCTAAAATGCCATTTTAACATTAACACGTATTAGTGTAAACGGGGCCTGATTGTGTAATTTTTCGCGAGTAGGTTTGAGACAGGGGCGGGGCAGAGGATCGGGGATTCCGGCTCAGCATCGTGTTGTCTATTGGCCATCAGTGATGGACGATGGCATCATCTAACGGCCCAACCCTACCACCCTCCTCCTTCCCTAAACCCAACCGACAGTGTTTTGAAAAGCAATCCAGAAAAAGAAAAGCCCTACCTGATTTTTACAGCCTGATCTCACGAGAAAATCAAGTATTCAACGTATTGTCAGTTTAGTGGCTAATTCGTACGAATTCGAGTTCAGTTGTATGAAAATGAGAATTTTAAAAAAGAGGCGTGGCACCTAACCCCACCCCTAACCCCAACCGTCATTGAGTGATGAGCAAATCATACTAAATTGTACGAATTAGATTGTACGAATTCGTAAGATTTAGGCATTAAATCAAAAGTTACAATCTGCCATGAGATTGCATTGGATTTTTACCACGTTTTCAGATTGTACCACATTCTCACCCTGTTATTTACTTGTTTATATAAACATTTTTGGCTTTTGTTTTTGTCTTACCTGCTTTCTGGAACTGTTCCTCACCGAACTTGAACCCTGTTGTTGTGGTCAACCGTGCTCTGCATCTGCAGACCCACGCTGTGAGCCACTGGACAAACTGGTAACAGCGGGAAAGCCACCCATACGAAGGAAAGTGGTCAGCTGGTTGCGCAAAAAGGAACGCCATCATACCGCCCCGTAGCGTTCATTTTAAAGGCGAAATGCAGCCATACGCCTGTTTCACACCGCAAGCGTCAGTGGCGCGTGAGCAGAGCGTGAGCAGCGCGTGTGTTTTTGGCGTCCATGTTAACAGATTAGAGCTTTCATACCGCACGCAGCAGCAGCGCGTCAGAGCGAGGCGTGAGCGTCGCCGAAGCAGCAGTGCAGCGATAGTTTCGGCACTGGGTCTATTTTTGACGCGTTGCTCACGCTCAATTAAAGTGACAGTGCATTGATAATGACCTAAACATATTGAATGACAGTAAAAAGTAGCAATTTTACCCAATAAATGCGTTAATAATGTCAAATGGTTTATATATAGTCATTCAAATTAACTTAAACGATTAAAAACGGCAACAAACATTTATTTAGGCCCGAACTACACAACCAAATGTAAAACTATTTTAGTATCAGTTTTGCTTAAGTTGCACACTAGTGTTGTAGGAGAGGGGAAATATAATATTTACGGGATTTGTAGTCCATAGCGAAGTGTATTGTGGGTAGTGTAGTTCGACACACATGCTGGATTTAGGGTTGTAACAATATACCGGTATGACGGTTTACCACGATTTGAACGTGCACGATTATCATACCATGAACAATTGCATATCAACGGTTTTAACCCTTAAAGACCGAGACAGCCGCCCGCGGCTAAAAATAAGTATTGCTCTTAAATGTTTAATAACTTTTGATCCGCTGATCCGATTCATACAATTCAAAGATTGGCATAAAGAAGAGAATCTCAGCTTTCCAGTGCTGTATCACATAACATTCGCGGACTTTCAGAGGCTCCGGAATCAGTGCGGTTACGTCATCAACATTTGACAACGCTGATTTGACAAAGAAACGCTCGTCACTGTGTCTCCGGACAAATCAGACATGATACATTGATGCATTGTCCCTCCTCCATGCCCAGATTGGTTCAAACTCGCTATATCACAACCAATAAGCATAGGTTTCGCTTTTGTTTGTGGACCAAGCTTTTTGAACAACACGGAATGAGAGAAAGGCATACATTTATGCGCGGCTAAATAAAACGCAAAAAAAAAAGTTTTGCATGAAATAATTCTCATACTAAATACTTTTGCATGCACAGCAGCACAGAAACATGACAAAACAGTGACACAGCAAAGACGAACTGCTGCTCTTGCTGTTTTCAAAAGACGCAAATGAAGATGCAGCTGTTTGTCTGCATTGCAGACAACCATATCCAAATCCATATCGATAGACAACCATATCCATGCTGGCACATAAAACCTAAGGATGTTCCATATTGAATCTAGTTTCGTTATGTAACTATTTATAGTATAGTAAATATTTATATCTATTTTTACTGAGGATTTGCACCATGTTTATTTGGACTTTATTTGGACTTTGACACATTATTTATTATTTTCTTATTTTTATTTGTTCATTGTAAGTGGTGTTGTTTATAGTAACTAAAAATATATTATTTGGAAAAAGTCAAATTTGCTTCACTGTTCTATTATTTTGTAACATTTGTAACATACCGTATACCGTGAAACCGTCAAACCGTGGTATTGTTTTAGACGATTATCATACCGTGAAACATTCATACCGTTACAACCCTAGCTGGATTATGTGAGCTCGCTGTGTTCTGTGCAGCTAAGCAGAGAAAGAAAGTTTTAATCGGCTTTGTTTTATGTTCACTCGAGTTATTCCTACCGGGAGCTGTTTGCTCTGTGAATCTGACAACACGAAAATAAGTAAAAGAATGGCATGCATTGGTTACTTTTGTCCGTCTCATCATCCGCACGAGCATGAATTAACGAGCTGTTACTCTGCCGCTGGACATAACTGAAGCGGAGAAAGTAACACTAGTTTGATCATGTATAAATATCATTATAGCTATATTGTATAAATATTATTATAACTATGTCTACAGCAACCTGATAATCAAAAAACAAATGACATGATATCACAGGCGATTGTCTTCTGACTGTAGACACTTCTCATATAAGTTAGCTTGAGAAGCATACAGTACTATTTGATCTATAACATTTGTAAAATAAACATTTGCAGGTTAAAGAAACAGCATAGGAGGGGCCTTGGTGCAGATGAAAAGTTTAAAAAGTGTATTTGTATATAGAGAGACATGGGGAACTAGATAGAATAGACAGAGATATGTTGATCTCTGCAGCAGCTGCCGAAGAGCTGCGCGCTGCAGACGCAGCTGGCGTGAAAGGCAAACGCCTGCGTGCTGCTACTGCTCGACATACGCGCTGCTCACGCTCTGCTCACGCGCCGCTGACGCCTGCGGTGTGAAACAGGCGATACGTTTCTCTGGCTACATAATTCTTGCTCTTTAGAAATGTATATAGGGCTACATTTTCAGAATGGGCCTATGTTGCAAGCTGTCATAACTAACAATGTCTGCTTTTAAAATGACATAACTGAGCAAAGGGCACTTCATGGCAGTTGTTATAAGCATGCATAAAACCTCATTCACATTCAAGACACGTGTCATGATTATAAAGGTTTCATGGAAGTCTTAAGTGTTAATAAAGATTATCTTCCCCATTAGACTGAATAATCCCAGCAGCTGAAGTTTGACTTTGAAAAGTTTCCTCCACTCCATGTGAAAGAGAAACCACCCACTGACTCCAGCACCGAGCCTGCAGAATTACACAACTCACCGTTGTATAATGCAGAACATCTTTAGCGCCCAATTTATTTATTATATAATTCCTTCTGCTGCAAGTCATCATGCGATCTGCTTCACTGCGAGTCAAGTGCACTTTGTGAGTACGTTCCCTTCGGTAAACGCTCAGATCCGTCCACAGAAAAATATGTATGCATGAGATACTTTGGTGCACAGAGTAAAGCAGATCTCTTTAAGCTCTGAGCGTGAATAATGCATTAACTCGCCCTTGGAAAATTGTGAAAATGATGTTGTTGAACTCACCAGGCCGAGCACCAGACCCATGAAAAGCGTGATGATGGCAAATATCACGTACGAACCCCAGGATGGGATGCCGAGGGTGTTGGTCAGGTACGTGTGGATTTGCTGTGTGAAATGTAAAAGAGATGAACATACAGTTATTTTATTTGTCAGGAATAAACACTTTTTAGGTCAATATTATTAGCCACTTTAAAGGTGCAGTAGGTGATCTGCCAAAATGCTAACCGCTTAGCATATTATCTTTGGACGGCGGGGAGGGACTGTGATTCAAAGCCACACCCCCTGAAATCGCGAGCGCGCGCACCACGTCACAACAGCCGATAGACAACCCACTAGTTCATGTCATTTGCCAGATAGTTATGCCGAGTTCAGACTGCATGATTTTCAAAGTAGTCGTGTCACAGATGTTTTCACACTGCATGACTATCTGGGCTTGCGTTTCGTCGCTGCTTTGTTTACACTGCAAGATGGATCGGCGACAGGGGCTTTCAGATTGCATGACTTTACTATAGGAAGAATCGCTGACAACTTCGTCCAAACTACGTCTCATGGCCAAAAACACGTGGTATATCTTTTGTTATTAACTACATAATGAGAAAGAAGCCTTTAATGGGGTAGAACATGTACATGTTTGCTCACCTGGGTTTAAAGGGAATTAGCCATTTCTCCTCAACGTTGATAATTAACTAATTTCTTTCTGTATGAAACGTCAAACAGACACGGGTGCTCCAGAATCCTGTTAATCCTCCACTAGTTTTTCCTCCATTTCGTGGGTCCAAATAAACCAAAAAAGAGCGCTTTTACCTTCTCCCCAGCCTCCCGGTGGCCTGCAGCAGGTATACACACACGCACACACAAGTGAAAGCTGCTCTCTCATTGGCTGTAGGCGATTGCTGATGTTATTTTCGGTCAAAACTCAATTCACACGGCATGATTTGAATCGCCGACAGCTCCAGATATTTAGCATGCCAAATATCTCACAGGCATCGGCGACTCATCGGCGATTCTCTCAGATCGCGTCTTTGAAAGTTCATACTGTGCACGAGCAGCGTTTTGCCTGTGATTTTAGGCATTTGTCGGCGATTTCTCAAAACCTGTCGGCGAGCCAAAATCGGGGCTAAAATCACGCAGTCTGAACTAGGCATTAGTGCCAGCGCCGTGCAGGAATTACATTTATTACTTAGCCACACTTACATGCTATTTCAGAGTGAATATTCAGAGTAGCGGTAAACAGTATAGGAAGGCTGTCATTGTTCAAAAATGACCCAATGTGAATATAAAAGCAACTTCAGCTCAATAAAGCAGGTTAGGCAGAATAGCGCTATTTACTGGTGTTCTGTTGTTAAACTCAATATAAATCTACATTATAAAGCTGTAAAAGGACCTTATAAGACTGAAAATAATCACATACTTTTTTTACCAGGAGATTTTAGTGGCTGAACAACACGTCTGTGCATGTAAGTCATTCATAACACAACACAATCTGACATATAATAGTTTCAAAACAGAACATTACCTGTCTAACAGTAATACTTCAGCCATGGTGTCGTCCTTCCTCCAGCGTGCTAAAGTAACTCCAATATTGATTCAGGTATTTAAAAGTTTCAATTCAGCATTTGATTTCTCCCGGTCTGTCTCGTGACCGCGCGGCCGCTTTAAGGGCGACACGCTAATGGCGGATCTGCATGAACACATGCGCAGAAGTCGGAATCTACATTTGTTAACAGACAGTCTGACCTGCCTATCGGAATTAAGGGAGATGACGGTCCGACTCTATTTAATTTGATGAACATTTTTTAGTTTTATGCTTTACCCTGAATATAAAAATACATATAAACACATTTAGATCATTTACTGTTATTATTACTATTGGACTGTGAAGAGACTTTTAACCAGCACAACAAAAAATGTTTCTGAAGACAATCACCTGCTGCACCTTTAACTTTTGTTTTGATTGGCTGCAGAACAAACCACTGTTATACATTGACTTGCCTAATTATCCAATATCTTGCCTAGTTAACCTAATTAACCTATTTAAGTCTTTGTGAATTGAGTGGTTTCCCCTGAGATGGGTTGTGGCTGGAAGGGCATCCGCTGTGTAAAAACTTGCTGGATAAGTTGGCGGTTCATTCCGCTGTGGCGACCCCGGATTAATAAAGGGACTAAGCCAACAAGAAAACGAATGAATGAATGAATTGAGTGGAGAAACTATGACGTCAATTTGTATGCAAAAAACAATAAGCGAGTAAGCATTTTAGCTGTTCCGGTTCCCTTGTCCAAAAGTCAATGGGTTTTTGGCAAACAAACGTTTGTGGTTAACACAAACTAAAGATACTTTCACATTTTATTCTACGACATAAAACACATCAGTTACAGCCAGTGGTGGAAAGAGTACTAAAAAATAATACTCAAGTCAAAGTACCAGTACTTGCCTAAAAATGTAGTGCAAGTAGAGTAAAAGTATCTGTTGTAAATATTACTCAAAGACTGAGTAAAAAGTAGCCCTTCTAAAAGTACTCAAGAGTAGTGAGTATTACGCTGTGAAGTGCTAATGTATTTACATGTAATTTGTAAATGTGTGTAAACGTAACATTCTGTAGTGCATTTAGTTATTGCCCAGCAGGCACACAATGTCATAGGACGTTAATATTAGGTTAGATTTAGGTTGTGATGTCAAGTGACCAAAATTCAATGTCTAGCCAGCGTCTAAGCATAACGTTATTTTGATGTCTAATAACAACGTTAAATGACATTGATATTTGGTCAATTATAGGTTGTTAGAAAGTGACCAAAATCCATAGTCGAGCCAACATCTCACGCAGTCAAGTGATGCGATTTCGCAGGTCAGAGTTCACCAAGCTTGAACTTTGCACAGCAGCATAAAAACTTATTTGTGTGCGTATGAACGGAAGTCTATGGGAGGAAAATCCCAGTGTGACTGCAGCTTAATATGTAGTTTTATATAGCTTGACAGTAAGGGTGTCACGATTTCGATTTTAATCGAAAATCGATCGAAATTTATGCTCTATTTCGATTATCGAATCAAAAAATAGAATCGTCCATGCTGCCACGCCCCCATGTCACGTCAGCTTGGCTTGCCAAGCGAGAAAAAACACGCTTGTTGAAGTGCTTGTTAAACTGTGCAGACGCAGGAGACCCATCGTCAGAGCTTAAACCTTCAGGGCTCGACAAAAAGGACTGCCCGATAGCCCGGAGCCAGCGTGCGAGACGCTCGGGTCAGTGTACAGTGCTGCCTTGTTGACTGACAGATTGAGCCAGAGCTGCGTGCTGCGACTGTCTGTCAATTGTGTGCAAATACAATCTTACGGTGCTTTCACACATAGACGTTTGTTTCGGAATCTGTCTCGTTTCTCCCGTTAGTTTGTTTGGCATATATCCAGCAGTTGCGCTCGCATCCGCGCCAAATCAATCAGTCAAATGCGAAAGTGAAAGCATGCTGAAATATTACCGAGAGCTGTTTATCCAGCCTGATCTCGGTTTATCCGTCAGGAAAATTGACCGAAATTACTATCTGTTAATTTTTCCATATTTTAATCGTACAATATGTTGTATTAGGCCTGTTGTTTTGTTCATTTCCGCACTGACAGCTCGAAAGAAAGATTTACATTTATCTGATGCAGTCTCGGTTCATCTGCTATGTTTCTCTATAATTTAAGCCTATAATGCAGAATTCTAGCCAACGTTTCTTTAATAGATTGATTAATTCAATAGATCGATTTTTACAAAACCTGAAAATTAAAATGAGGCTTTGTATATATGAGAAAGTCTGACCTCTGCTTTATATTCGTTGACGATGTCTGTGGGTTGTTAGAATTAAAGTGCACATTTTTGCTTCTAAAATATTCTATACACAACTGGTCAAAAGTTTGGGGTCAGTATGATTAAATATGTTAAAATAAGCTTCTTCTGCTCACCAAGGCTGCAATTATTTCATCACAAATAAAAATTATGAAATGTTGCACTATAAAATAACTGTTCAAAAGTAGTTTATCATTTAATTTATTCATTTATTCCAGTGATTTTAAAGATGAAATTTCAGCTTCATTACTCCAGTCACATGATCCTTCAGAAATCACTAATATTAATTATTATTATATTTATTAATGGTAATAGTAACAAAAGCAATAATGTCTATAGTAGTAATTTTATTTGAAACTACATACAATAACAAAGTAGTTATTTAAAATTTTGATAAATATTTAACAATTTAACATTTTTTTACATTTAATAAATGTAGCCTTGATGAACTGAATAAGTTTTCTTAAAAACATTTTAAAAATTACTGTAAATATATATACAGTGGAAGTCAGAATTATTAGCCCCCCTTTGTTGTTTTTTTCTTTTTAAAATATTTCCTAAATGATGTTTAACAGAGCAAGGAAATGTTGATAGTGTGTCTGATAATATTTTTTCCTCTGAACAAAGTCTTATTTGTTTTATTTTGGCTAGAATAAAAGCAGCTCTTAATTTTTTTAACCATTTTAAGGACAAATTTATTAGCCCCTTAAGCTAATTGTTTTTCAGACTGTCTCCAGAACAAACCATCGTTATACAAAAACTTGCCTAATTACCCTAGCCTGCCTGGTTAACCTAATTAACCTAGTTAAGACTGCTTCAATCTTTTACTTTTACACTAGTACTTAGTCATTTTAGCAAACACTTCAGATACTGTTGGCTGGTTCCTGTTGGTTGTGCACCTTTTTTTACCGACGCCCTAATAACGACACAGATCACTGCCTATACACAAGAAAAAAGTGATTGACAGGTGGTAATTATGTGTGTAACTTGCCTTTATTTATTTACTGTATGACTTGTTTATGGGTAAAACAAAGACCATGAAGGTCAGGTAGTTTAAACGGTAGGCTACAAATAATTAATTTGTTAATAATTAATTAATTATTCATAATCGAAAATCGAATCGAATCGTGACTTAAGAATCGAAAATGTAATCGAATCGAGAATTTGGAGAATCGTGACACCCCTACTTGACAGTGGAATTGACCATTCGCTAAGCCACACCTAAAAACCGCCACCCTCCAATCATGGCTTAGCAACTGTAGCTACGCCCAGGGGCTCTGTCAAGCTTTCAAGCGAGTGCATATGGATTGTGCAAATCTGATACCCGGTATCCTTTAAAGTTTGGACGGGATGGTGGATTTTTTTTCCCTTTTCAAAACCTAAAACCCAAGAGGAGAAATGCCAGCGTGGATCAAACTGTGTGAGGGGAGCTAAAGGAGCGGAGCTAAGTTGGCTTTGTTTTGATATTTTTTGTCATTTTAATATTATTCCTGACACATTCAGTGATAGACAGACGGCAATAACTCATACACCTCTTACCCTAAACAGATCTAAACTGTGTTTCCAACAAAAACACAAAGCAGGTTATGTTTCACAGCTGTCTTATTTCTTTTTTTTTGCTCGATATTGTGAGTAATGCTCCGTTTAAGCCCTCGCCATAACGTTAGTAACGTTAGGCATCCTAATAGCGAGTAGGTCATAATGACATGAGTTATTAATCCGAAAAATACGAATCTGGGAATCTGTTGCAAGCTTTACTGAACTTCATATTTCCATCTATATCAAGCTACGAATATTTGAACTTACAAATCAACATAACAAAACCGACATATAACCACAAACTGAGCCCTTGCGATCAATATACTTTACCTGCAGCTGTTTTTCATTCATTTATAAAGAGCACACAAACATACTGACAGTAATAGATAACTTACTGTACATTCTTATGGGTCAATGATGCTAATATTCAGCACAAATCCATCAGTTTCCCCTTTCTGGCTGTTCTTTCTATGAATAAACTATGTAAAAGCACTGATATGTGTGTTTCCTTGCCGGTTAGTAACGTTATATTTCATTGCACAATTAATCTATAAGGCTTTTTGGCTAAAAATAGAAAAATCCCAGTTTCATTTGTTATTATTAGATCATTTGTAAATTTCACCTCTCCAGCTGTGCATGAATGGTTAGCCTATGAGGCGACTAGGCTAAGCTGGCTTCAATTTTGATTGAATTATTCTCTAATCGGTTGCCTATTATGTGGCGAATATACCCCTGTAATGCATACTGCAGTCCTTTTTTGTCTGGCTTTCTCGGATTTCTCACCTGTTCGCCAAAAATGACATTATATCCCTGGCACTGTCTGACACGGGCGCACACACGTTGTAAAAGCCGTGCCAGGCACGAAAGCTTGACAGGCGTAGCAACAGTAACTAAGGAGGGCGGGGCTTAGCGAAGGGTCCATTGTGAAAGATTGTGCGAAAGGGGCGGGGCTACACATTCAACTCAACCAGGCTCCGTCCTTGTAAAGGAATGATTGAATATAGTAAAATTGTATTGAATTCATTCCCTTTACAAAACTCAGTGCTACGGTGGCATTTGAGTTCATCCAGAAACAGAGAGTACGTCACAACATTAACATTCCTAACAGCAACATTACGCATTAAAGACAGCTGGAAGAGTACACTAGGAGCCTTTTAAGAAACAGATGAAGTCTTCAAGGTTTAGAGAGAGTAAATGCTGGCAGTGTTAAAGTCTAACTACAGAAGAAACAGAAAATGTTTCTTACTCTGATCCACACAGAGAGTCGAAACAGATGAGCCATTCCTGACATTCTGGAAAAGAACAAACAGGGGTTACATTCAGTTTGACTTATTCGGCTTAAGCAACATTTTAAGAGAGATTTCTTCAAGCAAATGCATACAGAAAAGGGTTTTATTTACAGGAGAGATGATGGTGACTTCCATCCTGGCACCGGCTCAACCGTCGCCCACTTTCTGTGCACAACATATGCTTGGATATCCTCTATAGTCCGTGATGAAACATACTTGCGGAAATCTCCATTTTTAGCGCTGTGGGTGAGACGGGGTTTTCAGTATTACACAATGAAATACATTAGCAATTTTGGGGTTAAAAAAAGGTCACCTAAAAAGAACATTTTACATTAATGGAATACAGTGCACAAAACAATTAAAAAAAAATTATAGTAGGGTAAAAAACACTGAATCATATATCATTGTATTAATTAATCTGTGTTTAATGTGTTAGAAATAGTTTTAAATGGCACCTATTATGCAAAAATCACTTATATAAAGCGTTTAAACACAATCGTGTGTCAGCAGTGTGTGAATATAACCAGCTTCTAATGGTAAACATTTAATAACTTAATTTTTCATAATCACACTTGCAGAACCACTTTGATTGACATTCTCTCTTTGTACGTGTCATCAGAGGGGGAAAGCCCCTCCCACTAGTGAACATCTCTCCTTCATTAGCATAGGACAATAGTCTTGTTTTTGATTCTGCCACTATGCTGACACATATGCATGTGTAGCTCCGCCCTCTTTTGGAAAATCCTTTAAATTTAAAGTGACAGTCACCAAAGTTCAACAATTAGGATCAAAGCCTCAAAGGGTCTGTTTAAAAAACTTACAAACATTATTTGTGTGGAATTTTAAGCTGAAACATTATTTATGAGATTTATTTTACATCCTGTAAAAAGGGGCATTATTCAGATATCAAATAGATTGTATTTTTTGTTTACAGTATAGTTTATCCACACTGCTACAAAACAGAATGCACCGTAAATAATAGGTAATATTAAATATTTTATTCTTTTTACAATAAATAATAATTTATATTTGATAATGAGTTAATTAACAGGTAAATTATAGCTATTTAGCATTTTACCAATCTTTATTTTATTTTTTTACATATTTTTGTCAAATTCATCCAAATACATCCTCAAAACGTTTTTATCGTAACATTATTTTTTTTCTAATTATGCCATTGTTATTTTTGCTCAGTAAAGTTCCTGTGAAATTGTCATTCTTTCAAGTGCTGATTAAAGGAGATTTTTTTCAACAATTGTCAAAAATAAAAATATATATTTTATGTTTGCCATGATAACAGTACAACAAATTGAACAAGTTATTTTATTGTTATTTAGCTTAAAGTGCAATACTACGCTTAACTAGGTTAATAATACAGTGGCCGAGAGAGCTTAAATCTAACCAAGCTCCTCTGTCCGGGTGATGTCACGTAATTTCGCGACAAACGCGGGAAGGTGATGTGATGCCCTTCACATGTAGCCAAGCCATAGAGCAGGGTTATTTATTTGGCGGAAAGGAGTTTTCAGGGTGATGTGACAATATGTTCTGGCTCTCCAAATAGTGTGACCAAGACATCAAAAATAAATTTAGTTCAGTCGAAAAACAGCCGCTGGTTATGAAGTAACGTGCGTCTGTTCAATACAGCACGAGCTGCAGTTGAAGGTTACGCAGAGCGTGAGTCACCTGACATTAAGCGAGTGAGTGGTGCGAGCAGCCGAAAACATTCGCAACTAAACAGGCTCGGATTGGCTAATCGGGAGGACCGGGAGAATTCCCGGTGGCCCGGTCCGTTTTTTGGCCGCGAGGGCCGGTGTCCCTAGCTCCAGAATCTGTTGCTCTCAGCAGTCACACTTTTTAAATGTATTTATTTACTTGACCACAGCCTTTTTATTCATTATGGTCGAGCGGTTAGCACGTTAGGTTAAGACCCCGCGGACCCAGGTTCGATCCTCGTTAGAGTAATTTAGTGTTTTAATTTTTATTGATAAAACATATAATACTGTTAGGGTTGTTGAACATTTGAAGTTCTAAAGCAGCTGTTTTCTCAAAAAAAAAAAAAAAAAAAAAGACGTGATAGTGTCATTAGAAATTGATTTGGAAATATTTATTTATTTACTTATTTTAATATTGTCAGTCGTGAACTGAGGTGGGCCGGTTTGAGGATTGAAACTCCAGAGCTGAAAAGGTGTCCCACTCCGGCCCTGCAACTAAACAAAGTTATGCCACCTGTGCGCTAGTTTAAAGTTCTGAGCTTATAGCTACACCAAGGCTAATACGCACGCACACTGGATTAACTATAGCGGCAGGCCATTCACATGGTGGCGAATAATTCTGACTTGAACTGTATATCGTATACTGTCATTCCTCCTAAAATCACCGGGGATATGATACTTTGCTCATAGGGCCCAGCCCTACTTACTAATAAATAGTTCATAGATTAATAATAGGCAATAAATGGTAAAATGGTAATAAGCCAGTATACTGAAAAAAATTATTCAAAGATGATTCCTTGGATTTACTTATTTTTTTTACGTTAAGTGGTTGTAAACAATTTAATTGTGTTAAATTTAAACAAACAAATTAAGTTGAACATTATTCAATTTAATTTGATTGTTTAAATTCAACACAAATAAATTGTTTGCAACAGTTCTGCATGCAACACTTTTTTCAGTGTAGTTAATAGCATCAATTGTGACCTAAACTAAATTGTGCCTTATGTCAATAAGGCAAGTCACTGGACAAGTGTGGTTTGTTCTGCAGCCAATCACAAGTAAACATAATAATATTGACCTTAGCAGTTACTACATTTGTATTTTACATTTATTTAAATTCCAAGCCAAATGAAAATAAATACAACTTAAATTATGAATTAAAATAGGTTATGCTTCCTCCAGAATAAAATTAATATAATAGGAAATACAGTGAAAAATATCCTTGCTCTGTATTGGGAAATGTTTGAAAAAGCATTCAAAGGCTAATAATTATTTAGTTCGACTGTATCTAAAATCTGCAAGACCATTTTAAAGTGGATGTGAAAGTGAGTTTCGTGGTGACACCGGAGGGAGTATAGATTCAGCCATCTGAGGACTTACTGAAATATAGTCGGCAGTGTTGTAACAAGAAACCTCCCACTCAGACCTGCAGAACAAAAGAGGAGAGATATTGATGCAGAAATGCAGAGAACATCCTATACCGGACAGAAAAAGTCCCATCGGCATGGGAAGGCGGTGTGAGCTTTATAGCAGCGCTGAAAAGAGAGTAAAGGCTGACAGCTTTCTGACAGTAAGAGGCGTTTCTGCCCGACACAGAAAACATACGGGAAAGAAACCCGCAAGACAACAGACTCCGTCATTAGTGGCTCAAATGCAATCTTCACTTGGATTTAGGAGGCAATTAGTGTGCGGAGGAAATCATCTAAACGGGTATTAGAGGCCATGTGATGCTTCGTAGTGTTTTGCTTTTCCTGTGGTGTTTAATGCAGCGGTTTGTGAATGTATAAGATCCGCAGCACTCATATGAAACACTCCAGACCTGCTCAAAGCACACTGATCCAAATGTAGATGTTAGTATTTATGTAAATGTATAGTGTCACAAAGGCAAATGACTTCATTTCAGCGAATTGTATTTTCCGTGTAAAGCTTAGCTGACCAATCAGAGCGCTCTTTACTTTTGGGAAGGCGAGGCTTGTAGAAAGCAAACTCAATGAGAGTGTTTCTAACAGATAAGAATATTAGCGTATTAGAGTGCAACAGTTTATCCCAGAACTCCATTGAGAAATTATTTTTAAACAGCAACTGATATTAGTCCTAGGTCAGGGCTATCGGTCCTTTAGGGCGGGGCTATCAGTGATTTAGGGCGGGGCTATCAGTAATTTAGGGCAGGGCTATCAGTAATTTAGGGTGAGGATATCGGTCCTTTAGGGCGGAGCTATAAGTAATTTAGGGTGGGGCTATCAGTAATTTAGGGTGGGGCTATAGGTCATTTAGGGCAGGGCTATCGTTCATTTAGACTATCAGTCCTTTAGGTCAGGGCTATCGGTACCTTAGGGCGGGGCTATCGGTAATTTAGGGAGGGGATATCTGTCCTTTAGGCCGGGGCTATCAGTCCTTTAAGGCGAGACTATTGTTAATTTAGGGCGGGGCTATCACTCATTTAGGGAGGAGATATCTGTCCTTAAGGGTGGAGCTATCAGTAATTCAGAGTGGGGCTAAAGGTAATTTAGGGCACGGCTATCGTTTATTTAGGGTGAGACTATCAGTCCGTTAGATCAGGACTATCGTCCCTTAGGGTGGGGCTATCGTTAATTTAGGGCGGGGATATTGGTTCTTTAGGACAGGGACATCTGTCTTTTAGGGCGGGGCTATCTGTAATTTAGAGAGGGGATATCTGTCATTTAGGCCGGGGCTATCGGTCCTTTAAGGCGAGATTATTGTTAATTTAGGGTGGGGCTATCACTCATTTAGGGAGGGGATATCTGTCCTTTAGCGGGGAGCAATCAGTAATTTAGAGTAGGGCTATAGGTCATTTAGGGCAGGGCTATCGTTCATTTAGGGTGAGACTGTCACTCCTTTAGGCCAGGGCTATCGGTCCCTTAGGGCGGAGCTATCGGTAATTTAAGGCAGGAATATCGGTCCTATAAGGCGGGGCTATTGTTAATTTAGGGAGGGGCTATCACTCATTTAGGTAGGGGATATCTGTCCTTTAGGGTGGAGCTATCAGTAATTAAGAGTGGGGCTATAGGTCATTTAGGGCAGGGCTATCGTTCATTTAGGGTGAGACTATAAGTCCTTTAGATCAGGGCTATCAATCCCCTTGGGCGGGGCTATCGGTAATTTAGGGCGGGGATGTTGGTCCTTTAGGGCGTGGCTATCTGTCATTTAAGGCGGGGCTATTATTAATTTAGGGCGGGGATTTCAGTCATTTAGGGAGGGGATATCTGTCCTTTAGGGCAGGACTATTGGTCATTTAGGGTGGAGCCTTTGATCCTTTAGGGTGGGACTACTGGTATTTTAGGTCAGAGCTGTCAGTCCTTTAAGTCACTGTTATCAGTCATTTAGGTCAGAGCTATCATTAATTCAGGGTGGGGCTATCCATATTTTGTGGCAGGGCAATCGGTCATTTAGGGCGGAGCCTTCGATCTATAAGGGTGGGACTATCAGTCCTTTAAGGTGGGACTATCGGTGTTTTATGGCATGGCTAATCCTTTCAGGGTTATCAGTCATTTAGGTCAAAGCTATCATTAATTTAAAGTGGGTCATTTAGGGTGGGTCTACAAATTTAATTTAATCAGTCATTTAAGGTGGCGTTATAAACAATTTAAGCTAAGCTATCAGTAAACATCATGCTTCTTCACTACCTTCACGAGAGGCAGTGATTCAAACAAATTTGATACGATTTTGTCTGTAAAAGACCACCTCTTCGAGCTTGGTACACTTTGTATTTTTGGTAAAGTAAAAAGTCAAAGGAATCTTTTATGTGTTTTAACCAAATGAGGTAGATGTGAAAGTATGTAAATGTTATGCATTGTGTAGCTCTTTAATAATGTAATAATCTACAACATGTGAAAAAATGTGTTTTGTGAGAATGCATAATAAACAAAATAATGATCTCTTAAAATAGCATCATACAGCCAATAACAAGTGCCTTAGGAATTTAAATGAGTGACCAATGCTTCTATCGTGTTAAAAGCACAACTCAAGTCTTTTTCCCTTTTTAAATCCCACGTAAGAGTTTATTTGAGCCACATGACAAAACTTAAAGAGTTCTGTGTGTGCAAACAATCCAGCAGTGTTTTCCTCTAAATCTCCAGACAGACTGCCGTCTATCAGCACAGAAACAAATACTGTTGATAATGACACACAGTTATTTTTTTAACAATTATTAGCATGGCTCATCCTGTTTAATAATATTAGCCTCTTTTAACTCTGCTGTTGCATAATGTGAAGATGTTTTTACACTTGAAGTTTCAATCAAGTTTAAATAAAAATGAAAAGAGAAATAAACATACAGTCAAATAAATAAGCAGTATTTCATTCACAGCAGCATTTAATTCAATATGTGTGATTATTTCCTCCTATGTTAATTATACATTTATATTAATTTTATGATTACATTTTTAAATTAGCTATTAAATAAAAACCTTTACTGCATCTGACTATGAATATAAAATACAATGTTTATATATTAGTATTAAAATATTATAGACTATATATATATATATATATATATATATATATATATATATATATTGTAATGAAAATAAAAATACTCTTGAATAAAATGAATTATTTTGTTAACAGGACAGGATTAACATTTAATCCAAAATGTATCCCTATATGCTCATTAACCAGTTATACTAATGTATATGTAATAACTTTTACAGATATTATACAAATAATGACAAGTGTATAGGTAAATATTATTGTTAAATATTATAGACAATATCAGATTTTACCTGATTATTTTATTTAAAATATTTCTTATATTAGTTAATGTTAATTAAAATGTATAGATTGTACATTTATAAAAATATATTATAAAAATGATATTAGTATAATATATTCATACAATTAGTAAAAACATTTATGTTTATAAAGTAGTAGTAGTTTAATAAAAATATCAAATCTATAACGAAATAATTTAACTATTAATATTTATAATAAAAATTCAAAATAATAAAATAACATCTCAGCTAAATATTAGTATTAAAATTATAGAAAAATAACATATTTTATTTTACACAATTATTTGAAAATATTTTATTAATAAAATATTGTTTTCAATTTAGATAGAACAAATTATAATTTAATAAAAACAAAATAAAAATACAGTTGAAGTCAGAATTATTAGCCGCCCTTTTCTTTTTTAAATATTTCCCAGATTATGTTTAACAGAGCAGGGAGCAAGTCTTATTTGTTTTATTTTGGCTAGAATAAAAGCAGTTTTCTTTTTTTTCCCTTTTTTTTACTATTTTAAGGTCAATATTAGTAACCCCTTTAAGCTATATATTTTTTAGATAGTCTACAGAACAAACCATCGTTATCCAATAACTTGCCTAATTACCCTAACCTGCCTAGTTAATCTAATTAACCTAGTGAAGCCTTTAAATGTCACTTTAAGCTGTATAGAAGTGTCTTGAAAAATATCTAGTCAAATATTATTTACTGTCATCATGGCAAAGATAAAATAAATCAGTTATTAGAAATGAGTTATTAAAACTATTATGTTTAGAAATGTGTTGAAAAATCTACTCTCCGTTATACAGAAATTGGGCGAAAAATAAACAAGGGGCAAATAATTCAGGGGGGCTGATAATTCTGACTTCAAATATATACATATATATATATATATATATATATATATATATATATAGAATGTACATTTATAATTGTACAAATACAATTATATTAGTATAATACTATATCAACAAAGAACACACTACATATACATATGATACATGTTACATATTCAGCCACCTGTCACAGCAAGAAAATTCAACTAAGAAAAACAACAATACAAATCTATTTCTATGAAATCTATATTAAAATAATTTGACTTATTATTTATAAAATACATATTAATACATATGGCATCTCAGCTAAATATTAGTAATAATAAAATATTATAGATAATATAAGATTTTACATAATTATCTAAAAATATTTGAATATTTCATATTAATTAAAATGTGTTGAATGCACATTTAAAATACAATTATATTAGTATATTATATTCATTAAATTATAAAATATTTATAAATTAGTAATACAAGTATAAAATATATAATATAATAAAATTATGTTATATGTAATGTTTAAAAATACATAATAATAAAACTGATATCTCATAATAAATAATATTTTATACAATATTTTATACATTATATAATATAATTTGTTATGAGATGTCATTTTTATTATAATGTATTTTATAAATATCAAATGTCAAAACATTTATGATTTATAAAATACATACTAATAAAAATTATATCTCATAATAAATAATATTATACACAATATAATATACATTATATACATCTTAATATCATATGCATTATATCTCATAACAAATACATTAAATACATGTATATAAACACATTATAGTAATATGCATAATGAATGTTTAACACTAATATGCATTATGATGTATTAATGTATGTCATATGCAACAAAAAGCATAGTGGTCAAACCTGGTTGTTGTGTAACATCAACCCTGCCCACAGAAATGCCCAGACTGTCACTTTGTCTTCCCAGATTCTCCCAGTCTGCCTGTAAATGTTGACATGCAGGGCACCAGGGGGCATAACTGTAATAAACACACCAAACACAGCCATTCATCTACAGAACATCCATCCTGAACATTTCATCTGCATACTGCATGTAAATGAGTGTGGAACCCTGATCTTTTTCACTTAATATTGCATAAATTGCTTAATATTGCAAAAAGAAGCGTCTTTACGTGTTTTGCGTGAATCACAGACGCAAAACACTGGAGAAATTTAAAGCACTTCCGGTGATAACTCGGCACACACGTCATCATACAGCACAGACTGTTGTTATTATTTTGATACATTGTTGCAGTTATAACGGACACGCTGTCGCGTTTTAAACTGATACAATGTTGCAGTTTAAACAGATACATTGTTGCGGTTTAAATTGATACATTGTTGCAGTTTAAAACCAAACATTGTTGCAGTTTAAACTGATATATTGTAACTGCTTAAACGGATACACTGTTGCCGTTTAAACTGATACATTGTTGCAACCCGGCGGATCAAAGCGTCGCGTTCTCCCGCGCGCGGGAAATCAGACGAAATCATGATCTCGGTGATTCTGCAGATCATACTGTACAGGAGATCAGATCACACGGGCTACTCACAATTTGATCATCCACTCGCCCTGCAGGATCAGCGTCCAGTTGGCATCTGCCACTGTCACCACATTACTGGCGTCCGCCTGAGCGTCTCCTCGACCCGCGAGTGTCAGAAACAGTGCGGGGATCCACAGAAATCCCCTGCCATATTTCTGCATGTCGGCGCGAGTCAGTCCCGCCATATTGCAGGAGCACATGATTCAACACAACCAGGAAATACAGCAGCAGCGGCGACGGCGGCGCGCAGAGATCAGAGCTGCAGATGCGCCTGAATACACACCTCTGCTCAAACACACAAACATCTATACATACAGTCATAATTTAAACTATTACACTGTCATCTTAAACAAATTTTTGTTAAAATGTCATTATTATTATTATTATTAATAATTTTAATATTGTTGTTATTTATTATTATTATTATTATTGTTGTTGTTGTTGTTGTTGTTATTTTTAATGGTATTGTTATTATTTATTATTATTATTATTATTATTATTATTATTATTATTATTGTTGTTGTTGTTGTTGTTGTTGTTGTTGTTATTATTATTATTTAATGGAATTTTGTTATTTATTATTATTATTATTATTATTATTATTTATTGGTATTGTTGTTATTTATTATTATTAATATTATTATCATTATTATTATCTATTATGGATGTTATTTATTATTATAATTATTATTAATAATAATTATTATTAATGATTATTATTGTTATTATGATTATTATGATTGATATTATTATTATTAATAATAATAATAATCATTATTATTATTATTATTTATCGATGTTGTTGTTGTTGTTATTGTTGTTATTATTATTGTTGTTGTTGTTGTTATTATTGTTAGTAGTAGTAGTTTAATTGTTATTATTATTATTATTATTGTTATCATTTATTATTATTATTGTTGTTGTTGTTGTTGTTGTTGTTGTTGTTATTATTATTATTTAATGGTATTGTTGTTATTTATTATTATTATTATTATTATTATTATTTATTGGTATTGTTGTTATTTATTATTATTAATATTATTATCATTATTATTATCTATTATGGATGTTATTTATTATTATAATTATTATTAATAATAATTATTATTAATGATTATTATTGTTATTATGATTATTATGATTGATATTATTATTATTAATAATAAAAATAATCATTATTATTATTATTATTATTATTTATCGATATTGTTGTTGTTGTTGTTGTTGTTATTGTTGTTATTATTATTATTATTATTATTGTTGTTGTTGTTATTATTGTTAGTAGTAGTAGTTTAATTGTTATTATTATTATTATTATTATTGTTATCATTTATTATTATTATTATTATTATTATTATTATTGTTGTTGTTGTTGTTGTTGTTTGTTATTGTTGTTGTTGTTGTTGTTGTTGTTAAGATGATGATTATTATTATCATTATTATTTTCAAAAATACTTTAATGCCTACAAATATTACTGATGTAATCATATAAGGAGAGAGGTCTAGATGCAGACCTGGTGCAGTGCAATCTGGGCTGCATCCAATGCTTTTTGATGCACTCACCTAACCCCACCCCTAACCCTACCCCTCACCGTGACTTCACTCGCTCCATTTGAGTGCATTGTGTCTGACATTCCATCGCTGAGTGATGCAATCTCAGCTTGCATAATAAAGGCTGCATCCAGATCCTATTGCATATAAGTATCAGTATCTTATGTGGTGTGTGTGTGTGTGAGTGTGCGTGTGTGTGTGTGGTTGTACAACCCCTGAAACTGTGGTTTGGAGCCTCCTTTCGCAGCCATTAGTCTTGGAAATGACAGATACTAGTCCTCCACAGTGGTCATAGGAATTTCAAGCTACTTTTCTTGCTAAATAGTGGCCAGGTCACTACGTGATGCTGAAGGAAACATTTCCTCATTCGCTCCTCCAAAACACCCCAAAGTGGCTCAATAATATTTAGATCTGGTGACCGTGCAGGCCATGGGGTGTGTTCAACTTCACTTTCATGTTCATCAAACCACTCTGTCACCATTCTTGCTGTGTATTATCATCCTGATACACGGCACCGCCTTGAGGATATAATGTTTGACCCAAGGGGTGCACATGGTCCTCCAGAATGGTTCGGTAGTCTATGGCAGTGATGCTCTCATCTAGCACAAGTATTGGGTGCAGTACGCCGCTCTCTGTACACAGAGTTTGCAGGCTGGGCCTCAACTCCGGAGGGGGGCACCATCTCGGCTGCTCAAAAAAAAATATTAATATTTATTTACTAATATTAACATAAACTGAGTGTAAATAAAATATTTATTGATAATATGTTGTTAAATACATTTAAAAAATCTTTTTATGATGGACGCAAAAACAAACATGTGACGTATTTTTTTCTGAGTATGCGCATAGCCGCGTGGCGCGGCCCGGTCCACTTATCTTTGTGGCTGCTAGCTGCATATAATTATAAATGATGCAAGATGATTTCACGCTTGCCTTACTTATGGATCCAAAGTGTGCCAAGAAAATATCCCCCACATTATCACACCACCACCACCAGCCTGAACCGTTGATACAAGGCAGGATAGATCCATGCTTTCATGTTGTTGATGCCAAATTCTGACCCGACCATCCGAATGTGTCAGCAGAAATGGAGACTCATCAGAGCAGGCAATGATTCTCCAATCTTCTATTGACCAGTTTTGGTGAGTCTGTGTGAATTGTAGCCTCAGTTTCCTGTTCTTAGCTGACAGGAGTGGCACCCGGTGTGGTCTTCTGCTGCTGTAGCCCATCTGACTCAAGGTTGGACGTGTTGTGTGTTCAGAGATGCTCTTCTGCAGACCTCGGTTGTAGCGAGTGCTAATTTGAGTTCCTGTTGCCTTTATATTGAACCAGTCTGGCCATTCTCCTCTGATCTCAGCATCAACAAGGCATTTGCGCCCACAGAACTGCCAATCACTGGATATGTCCTCTTTTTCAGACCATTCTCTGTAAACCCTAGAGATGGTTGTGCTTGAAAATCCCAGTAGATCAGCAGTTTCTGAATTACTCAGACCAGCCCGTCTGGCACCAACAACCATGCCTCATTCAAAGTCACTTAAATCCCCTTTCCTCCCCATTCTGATGCTCTGTTTGAACTGCAGCAGATCGTCTGGACCATGTCTACATGTTTAAATGCATTTGAGTTGCTGCCATGGGATTGTATGATTAGAAATTTGTGTTAACAAGCAGTTGGACAGGTGTACCTGATAAAGTAGCCGGTGAGTGGATGGATGGATGGGTGGATGGATGGATGGGTGGGTGGATGGATGGATTGATGCGCATGCATAAATATATACTGTTCTCATTAGTGTGAGTGTAGAAAGTTAATAAAAGCCACTGAAAGAAAGCTGCTATTTCGGGTGTGTGTTATCTAATCGAACCCACACGCTATGATTTAAGGGTGGAGTTACATTGTTTCTCATATATTTGAACACTGTTCAGCCTTACATAACACTTCAGCACACGCAGAAAGCTGCTCTTGAGAATATAGATATATAGTTTTGCCAGATAAATAACATTTGGTTGTTGAGATAAAAGAAGAGTAATTGACTATTAGGGATGAGTGATTGTGCTCATTATTGAACTCTGCATCATTAGATTGTCAGATGCGCAACAGGAGACTGTGACTTCTGAGTGTGCAGCATTGTCTTTGCAGAGATGTTATGAGATGTTTAATTGTAACCAGTGATGTACGTCAGTCGATATTGATCCATTAGCGTTTCAATTAACACCGTCTGTCTTAATTGGCCAATTCTCAAAGCAGTTTACTGTATAGCAGGGCTCTTCTAGTGTACATCCGGCTCTTAAAGCACTTAACAGGCTTCCAGCTTTCTTACTTTGTGTTAATGCTTCATGCACTTCCAGCAAATATTGTATCATTCTAGGTCTTATTCTGTGATTTTGATCACTTTTATAACATGTACTATTTGCATATGATTTCCATAACATTTAAGTATCTGCTTTGGTCTTCAATTTATCACGATAAGAGCAATTTTGTTTATAAATGTTAGGGTTAGGTTTATAAATGTTAGGTTTTTTTTTTTTTTTTTTTTTTACAGCAAATTACATTTAATTAAATGAATATTCTCCCTCTAATGGTTGTAGAGAATTAAAAAAATTAATTTTCATTAAAAAACACAAGAACCAAAGCAAATAATGTCATACGTTTTGAAAAAAGTTGTCACAAAGTCAGTGTTATTAGGCCATATTTGTAAATATATGGCATATTTTTGAATATTATATATATATATGTATATATATATATATATATATATATATATATATATATATATATATATACATACACATACATACATATATACATACATACACATACATACATATATACATACACACACACAACATGTTTTTAGACACAACATGTTTGTAGACATAAGTGTGTGTGTTTTATATATTACACTACCGATAATATGTTTTTTTTTATATTTTAAGTAACAAATTTGGCACCAAGTTAAAATAATCTTATTTTTCATGACCTTCATGATATTTTTAAACCTTTCGAACAGTGGAAAAAATATGAACATGCAGTATATACATGTGTAAATTATTGAAAATATCCTCCAATATTTAGTCTACAAACATAATCTTTTTACATTTTATTTATTTACTTTTTTACATTTTTACATCATTTTTATAATATAATATAATGAATGAATATAATATAATATAATATAATATAATATAATATAATATAATATAATAATATAATATAATATAATATAATATAATATAATATAATATAATATAATATAATATAATATAAAACAACAACATAACATATGCATATAGCATAATAATAATAATAATAATAATAATAATAATAATAATAATAATAATAATAATAATAATAATAATAATAATAATAATAATAATAATTCCTTACATTTATAAAGTGCTTTTCTGGATTCTGGGTGGAATTTCCTGATCCACTTCCAAAGTGCAGCATCCACCTGGATGACATGATGGCAGCCGTTTTGCACCACACACCAGCTGATTGGTGGAGAGGAGACAGAGTGATGAAGCCAATTATGATATGGGGTTGGTTAGGAGGCCATGATGAGGGCAGTGGGCAAATTTGGCCAAGATGCCGGGGTTAAACCCCTACTCTTTTTCAAAGGACATCCTTATTAACGACCACAGAGAGTCGGGACCTTGGTTTAATGTCTTATCCAAATGACATCGCTCACTGAGCAGTATAGAGTCCCCTTCACAATACTGGGAGATTAGGACCCACACAGACTACAGGTTGAATGCCCGCTGCTGGTCTAACTAACACCAATTCCGGCAGCAACCTAGCTTTCCTATGTGTCTCCCATCCAGGTACTGACCTGGCGCAGCCCTGCTTAGCATTAGTGGGCGACCATGTGAGAGTTGCAGAAAACTAGCTTCTGGCAATAATATGACATAACATAATATAATATAACATAACAAATACAGTATAATATAATGTAGTATAATATAACAGGCCCGTAGCCAGCCTGGTATAAGAGGTGTTTTTTTTTTTTCAAAATGTGGACCTTTTTGTAGTTATTCACCCCATTTACAATGTATGAGATTTAAATACTTTATTTTAGTGCCATTTTAAGCACTATTTTTAGCTGGATTAGCTCGCTAGATCGTCATCACAATGACACATTTAATGTACCAAAATATTTTCTAAAGATTAAGAATAAAGAAAAATGAATAAAAACGTATTTTTAAAATGCAAATTTATTACATCATAAATCATTTTAAAAGGAGTAATTAAACTAAAAATTTATATTTTAAAAAATTATAACTTATAGCCTATAGCTTACAAACTGGCCAGAACATTCAACTGTCCTCAGTCAGAATTTGGCTATTTGAATATATAAAAAAAACAATTATATATATATATATATATATATATATATATATATATATATATATATATATATATATATATATATAATAAAAGAGCTTCAAAAATTTTCTAGCCTCTCTTGTAAAAAAAGTACATTTGATTTGACTGAAAATTCATGGATAACAAAAATAGCCAAATTACTTTTCAAATTAATTTCATTATAGCATTTTGCTTAGTCTTAAAGCCTTTGGCCAAATTGATTAATTTCACTATTAATGGTGGCATAGCAGCCAAAATAAGACAAATGACCTCATGGGACAAATTCTCAATCTTTGTCTTTTAGGGGTGGGTCTTTCGAACCACCCGAAACCCTGCTCCCCACCCGCCTCCCCTTGGCTACATGTATAATATGACATAATATAATATTGTAATTTACATTACTAACGCTTTCCTTCGCAGACTGTACACACATGAAACTTGCCTATAGCACTTATTCATTGTTGATCTTATAGTTGTGTAAATTGCTTTCTTGTCCTCATTTGTAAGTCACTTTGGATAAAAGCGTCTGCTAAATGACTAAATGTAAATATAATATAATATAATATAATATAATATAATATAATATAATATAATATAATATAATATAATATAATATAATATAATATAATATAATATAATATAATACCATATAATACAATATAAAATAATGTAATATAATATAATGTAATATAATAAAATATAATATTATAATAGGCGGTTCATTCCGCTGTGGCGACCCCAGATTATTAAAGGGACTAATCCAAAAAGAAAATTAATAAATAATGTAATATATTATAATATAATATAATATAATATAATATAATATAATATAATATAATATAATATAATATAATATAATATAATATAACATAATATAATATAATATAATATAATATAACATAATATAATATAATATAATATAATATAATATAATATAATATAATATAATATAACATAATATAATATAATATAATATAACATAATATAATATAATATAATATAATATAATATAATATAATATAATATAATATAACATAATATAATATAATATAATATAATATAATATAATATAATATAATTATAATCATACAGTACACTATTAAGCACTTTTACAACACCCCAGACATACAACATACTGCATTTATTTTATAAATTGATTTTTTACTATACTATATTTGTATTTGTTACTGTTATTATTATTATTAATATTATTATTATTATTAATAAATTAAATAAACATGAAAAGACAATCAATGAATAACTAGACAGTTCAATTGTTTGTCAAATAATATTTTAAGCACTTGTTGTACTTTTAAAAAACACGCTGTGGCACTACGGTTTTCACTTTATAAATTGACTTCACAGATTTGTACCTATTAGATAAACCTCTTTCGTCACAACCGAATTCTATAGAGCTAAAATAGCTGGAAATAACCCCCTGTGTGTGGGTCCATGCTGATATTCGCAGAGGTGTTATGAAATGTTTAATAGTGGCGGTGTTGGAGACGGAGACGCGCACTAGGAGGCGCTGAATCTCGGCGCGCGCATGAGTCAGTGCGCGGAGGACTCTCTCTCTCTCTCCATCTCTCTCTCTCCATCATTTATGATCGCTGTTTCTTTCCGCTGTTCATTTGCTCCGCGTCTTCGATCACTCTACAAACCCACGGACGTCCAAAAGCATGTTTTTAACGCGTCCGCCGGCCACGCGCCTCTAGATGTGCACCCGCGCGCGTAAAAAGCCTCTCCATTCAGCAGCGCTCCATCTCGCTCCTGAGAAGAAATACCCATTTTTTCCGCGCTGTTTTTGGCTGTTAAATGTTGAAGCTTGAATGGCTGGAGCTCAACCTGGCGTTCACGCGCTTCAACTCAAGCCGGTGCGCGTGTCCGAGAGCCTGAAGCGAGGCAGCAGATTCATGAAATGGGATGAGGTAAGTCTCCATGTGTGTGTGTGCGTGTTTGTGTGTGTGTTGGACGTCTTCAAGTCATGGTTCGGTGTGTGTGTGTGTGATGCTCTCGCGGATGTTGCATTGTTTACACGCACACACCGCAGAGCTCCACCATCATCGATCTGCATTGATGATTTAAGGGGGATTGATGGAGAAACGCGGTTCCGTCAAGTCCATCAGTATGTTCTCAAGCTCTGCAGAGACTGACACCAGGTCAGCTTGTGTGCAGAAATGCGTCTCTCAGCACTGTCACTCGATATACTTGCAGAAAATGAGAAGTAATGATGATTTTTCTTCTTTTATTAGTGGACTGTAATGTGAACACTAGAAAGCAGCATACTGTTGCAGATGGAGTGTGTCGCATTTCTGTGCTGCATGAGCATTGATTGAGTGTGTGTGGATCTGATGATTCTTCTGATACACATTCACCTGTTGGATGAGAGAGGGAGAGTTTCAGACAGAAAAAACTAACCCTCTGCGCTCGGGGGATTTCAAAACTTGCGGATAAGATAAATATTATTTAATATTTTACATTTTTGTTTTACTTAATCTGTTACATACAGTTAAAGTCAGAATTATTGCCTCCCCCTGAATTATTAGCACCCCTTTTCCCCCCCAATTTCTGTTTAACAGAGAGATCTTTTTCAACACATTTCTAAACATAATAGTTTTAATAACTCATTTCTAATAACTACATTTACATTTTACATTTAGTCATTTAGCAGACGTTTTTATCCAAAGCGACTTACAAATGAGGACAAGGAAGCAATTTACACAACTATAAGAGCAACAATGAATAAGTGCGGTAGGCAAGTTTCAGGTCTGTAAAGTCTAAGAAGGAAAGCGTTAGTAATTAAATATATATATATATATATATATATATATATATATATATATATATATATATATATATATATATATATATTTTTTTTTTTTTTTTTAGAGTACAGTTAGTGGTATATCCAGAGAGGCAATTGCAGATTAGGAAGTGAAGTGGAAACTAAATAGTTGAGTTTTTAGTTGTTTCTTGAAGACAGCGAGTGACTCTGCCGTTCTGATGCAGTTAGGGAGTTCATTCCACCAACTGGGCAGACTGAATGCGAGCGTTCGCGAAAGTGATTTCTTCCCTCTTTGGGATGGAACCACGAGGCGATGTTCATTCACAGAACGCAAGTTTCTGGAGGGCACATAAATCTGCAGAAGCGAGAGCAGATAAGAAGGAGCAAAGCCAGAAGTCGGTTTGTAGGCAAACATCAGAGCTTTGAATTTGATGCGAGCCGCAACTGGCAGCCAGTGCAAACGGATGAGCAGCGGAGTGACATATGCTCTTTTAGGTTCATTGAAGACCACTCGTGCTGCTGCGTTCTGGAGCAGCTGAAGAGGCTTGATAGAGTTAGCTGGAAGCCCCGCTAGTAGAGAGTTGCAGTAATCCAGTCTAGAGAGAACAAGAGCTTTAACAAGGAGTTGAGCTGCATGTTCAGATAAGAAGGGTCGGACCTTTCTGATGTTGTAGAGTGTGAATCTGCACGATCGAGCAGTTCTAGAAATGTGGTCAGAGAAGTTTAGTTTGTCATCCATCGTTACTCCAAGGCTTTTCACCATTTTGGAAGCAGTGATGGTTGCCCCATCCATCGGGATTGAAAATTTATGGTGTAGAGTCGAAAAAGTAAAAGTATTATGGTGTAATAACTGATTTCAATAAGTTGGCCGCTCATTCCACAGTGGCGACCCCTGATTTTTAAAGGGACTAAGTCGAAAATAAAATGAATTAATTTATTTTCTCTTTGCCATGATGACAGAAAATAATATTTGACTAGATATTTTTCAAGACACTTCTATACAGCTTAAAGTGACATTTAAAGGCTTAATTAGGTTAACTAGGCAGGTTAGGGTAATTAGCCTAATTATTGTATAACGAGGGTTTGTTCTGTAGACTATTTAAAACAAATATAGCTTAAAGTGGGGCAGTGGGTAGCATGATCGCCTCAGTCAGTTGGCATTACTGTGTGAAGTGTGCATGTTCTGTCCGTGTTGGCGTGGGTTTCCCCTGATTTCCCTCACAGTCCAAAAACATGCGGTATAGAGTAATTGTTTCCCAGTGTTGGGCTGTGGCTGAAAGGGCATTCGCTGCATATGCTGGATAAGTTGGTGGTTCATTCCGCTGTGGCGACCCCCGATTATTAAAGGGACTAAGCCGAGAAGAAAATGAATGATTTATTTGATCTTTGCCATGATGACAGTAATTAATATTTGACTAGATATTCTTCTAGACATTTCTATACAGCTTAAAGTGACATTTAAAGGCTTAACTAGGTTATTTAGGTTAACTAGGCAGGTTAGGGTAATTAGCCAAGTTATTGTATAACGAGGGTTTGTTCTGTCTAAAACAAATATAGCTTAAAGGGGCTAATAATTTTGACCTTAAAATGATGTTTAAAAAATTAAAAACTGCTTTTATTTCAGCCGAAATAAAACAAATAAGACTTTCTCCAGAAGAAAAAATATTATCAGACATACTGTGAAAATTTCCTTGCTCTGTTAATCATCATTTGGGAAACATTTAAAAAGGATGACAAAATTCAAAGGGGGTGAATAATTCTGACGTCAACTGCATGTTCAGCTCTGAGAGGTTTGATTGGTGCACTCACTCCCCTTATTCATTTTAATACACTGTAAAAAAGAAAATACTGGGTTTCCACACAGTTCCTTCATGTTGTCCCAACACAATTACATTTAGTTAATTAAATTGTTTTTACAAATTTAAGTTGTCCCAAAAAACCCTTAAAAACTGTGTTTCAATTCATTTTAAACAGGTAGTTTAAACAACTAAAGTAATTTTTGACCAGCATGGATTTATTTTATTTTATTTTTTATCATATTTTGTTCACACTTTATTTTAACACTTTAGTTTAATTCACACAATTAATACTGGCTTATTAGACTCAACACATGACATCACTATACTTGATGTTTTTTAAGGCCAACTGTTTTATGTTCAGTCTATTGTAATAGTTGACTAATATTGATTTTTTTCTGTTTTATTTATTGAAATTAATTTAGCATATTGGGCGTCATGGTGGAGCAGTGGGTACCATGATCGCCTCAGTCAGTTGGCATTTCTGTGTGGAGTTTGCATGTTCTCTATTGGGTTGGCTAAATTGCCCGTAGTGTATAAGTGTGTGTGTGTGAATGTGTGTGTGGATGTTTCCCAGTGATGGGTTGAGGCTGAAAGGGCATCAGCTGATTAGGTTGATCATTACTAAATTTGATTAGTTTGTTTAAATTCAGCCTATATAAATTGATTTCTGTCACTTGCCTTTAAATAATATAGTAAATCCAGTTAATCTTTTTTTTCCCCACATATTCAGTTTTGAGGGGTTTAATTGATGCACGTCCTCCCCTTATTCATTTTAGTTTACCAGAATTGATTTTTATTGTTTTATTTATTTAATTTAAATTAGTATATTTTGTCATTGGATTTACTCCTTTTTTTAAAGGTAAAGCGTGTGCAAACATTTTATATGGGCTGAATTTGCACGAAAATTATTAAATTTAGTAATGTTCAACATATTTGTTTGTTTAAATTCAGCCCATATAAAATGTTTGCACACACTTAACTTAAATTTTCATTCATTCATTTTCTTGTCGGCTTATTCCCTTTGTTAATCCGGGGTCGCCACAGCGTAATGAACCGCCAACTTATCCAGCACATTTTTTTCATGCAGCGGATGCCCTTCCTACCGATCTCTGAGAAACATCCACACACACACACACACACACACACACACACACACACACACACACACACACACACAATATGACAATTTAGCCTACCCAATTCACCTGTAACGCATGTCTTTGGACTGTGGGGGAAACCAGAGGAAACCCACGCGATCGCAGGGAGAACATGCAAACTCCACACAGAAATGCCAACTGAGCCGAGGTTTGAACCAATCACCCAGGGACCTTCTTCCTGTGAGGCGACATCACTACCTACTGCGCCACTGCTTCGCCATCATTTATTCATTCATTTTCCTTTTACTTATTCTCTATTTCAGAAGTTGTCACAGTGAAATTAACTGAAAGTTATTGCATGTTTTACACAGCGCATGCACTTTCCAGCTGCAACCCAGTAATGGAAAATGCACACTCACATACACACACACACTCATACACTACGGCAATTTTAGTTCATTAAATTCACCTATAGTGCATGTGTTTGGACTATGGGGGAAACCAGAGCACCTGGAGGAAACCCACGTTAACACGGGGAGAACATGCAAACTCCACATAGAAATGCCAACGGACGCAGCTGGAACTTGAACAAGCGACCTTCTTGCTGTGAGGCCACAGTGAACTGAACCACCATGCTTGACGCAGGGCATGTCTGAAGTTAGGGCTGACATGATCGTCTTAGCAGCGTCTGCCAAAAAAAGTTAGTCCACAATTTGTTTACTGTCTGAGCTGGTGAATTTGCATAAAGTATCAAGAATGTTCAGCATATTTAACAATAAAACTGACTTGACTTGACTAGAGCGATCTGATTGGCTGACGCTTGAAAAGTTGAGAAATCCCCAACTTCTATAGTAAGCAACGCTTTGGAAGTAGCGTTGACGGATCCAGTAAGGTAGTTCAGCAATGCTTCACATCACTCATTGAAAGTGAATGGGAAGCGTTGACGCTGACACTGTGTGAATCGGGTGTAATGGTTGACCAGGGGTGTGTTTCTCAAAACCATCGTTAGTTAACTAAGGTCGCATTACAGGCTTTACAAACATAGTTTGTATATTTTCCGTTTCCCAAATCCGTCGCTCCAACGAATATTCACAAACTGCGTCGCAAACTTTAGCACTCACAACTACACCTCTGGAGCTGTAATTAGAAACATAGTTCCTAGCTGTGTTCTATTCCCACTTATCCCCCCTATGCGCTACTCATTTAGAACATTCTACCATTTAAAGTTGGAATTATTCAAAATAAAA